GCTAGAAGCTACCTGTTGTCAGACTTCAGAAGCTGATGCTGTATGCTGAGTATTGGTAACAAACATTAATGAGGATTTAGAAGCTTGATTTTTAACTTTTTAACGAACTTGCTGAAATGGCTGTCTTGTAGCTAATTGAAGTCTGATATTTCAAAGTGATGTGCAGCACTGAAAAAGACTCGCTACTTGTAGTTAGAATTGACCAATCCATCACTGAAGGTATCTACTGGGGAAAACAAGACTGGAAGGGTTTTTCTGGTGCATGGAGTTCAAGCTTGATTTCTGTAGAGCCTTTCCTTGTAGTGTTGTCATATGATACCTTTAGATAGGTTTCTTTCCTCACCTCTGCCTTCTGAATGTTTGTATCCTTTTATTTATGTACTGTGGAATTTCACATGTGAATTAAGTTCTTATTACCTTTATCATTTACCATAATAAAATAATACGTGCTGTCCATGTTCCATTAACGATGCATGTGTCTGCTCAAATGTAAACTTACTTACATTTTACTGTAATTTGTTCATACTATTATCATGAAGTATATTTCAGAGAGTGAAAGAAGTAAAATGCCATCAAAACTGATAGGAAGATAAATAAATTAGAAGTCTAGGTCTTGCAGCTTTTTAGACTTTCTTAATATTTATATGCTTTAAAGCCTTGTTTACTGTCTGGAGTTCAAATGATCTGCAGCAGCAGGGTCTTGGATGAGTATTAATTCATAAGGCTTACTGGGAGAAGGAACTGCTCTGGAGTTGTGAAACCTCATTTAACTTCCTATGTTGAAGTTGATTTTTAATTTGTGGCTAGTAGTTTTCACATTGGGATAAGGAATAGAAGCCATCCCTACAGGAGATAATTTCTGGGTCCATGTAAGGCTTCTATAAATCCTTCCCATCTGATTCTCCCTTCCCATCTTTCCAGAATTTCCAGAAGTGCTTCTCTCAAAAATTTATTTAAGTATTTTTACCTAGTTTTGAGGTAATACCTGTGTTTAGGAGATTTGCCCTCTCTAGTTTGGAATTCAGGAGTGAGAAGCTTAAAACTATGTAAAATAAAGGTTCTTTTTTAAGTTTCAGTAATGTAGTTTATGTTAACAGCTGAGATCCTTGTCCTAAATGGAGTATAAACTCTTTCCAGCATTTTTCAGTTTTCTTAGTGATCTGTTTATCGTTGTGGTTCTCAAGCACTAAGGTCAACATTTATGCTGTCATAACTGTAATGGTACACTGGGGTGCAATAAACTGCAGATTATGGCTGATGCCATTAGTAAATGAGATTTCATGAACTCTGCTGCGGCTTCTCACCACCTCTGCAGCTGTCTGTTCTGCCTCTGCCAGGTGTTTGTGCCCACGCAGCAGAGCTGGCAATGGAGATGTGTGCCTGCGCCTCGCTTCACAGAATGCAGTCTGACATGTTAGCTTACAGTGCAGATGAACAGGGCTTTTAAATTGAAGATTATATCGCAGTTTGCAGTGAAGCAACTAAGATGTGCTACGTGTTCCCTTCTGCAGCTGCTGTGAGAAGGCTGCCTCTTGGCAGAGTGGCAAGGCAGACAGCTTCAGGCATGAACGTTTTAAACACTGCAGTAAGATGCAAAAGTAAGATGCAAAAGTTCGGCAAAACACAGGGGTATCTTTGCAAGTAGAGCTGATGGTGCAGGAGTTGACTCTGTGTGTGAGCTCTGCACTGTGAGTTTGCAATCCTGGATAGCTTTCAAAATGTACACAGTGAAATACTTGCACTTGCAACTGCTATAAAAAAAGCAAAGGTCCTTTCAGGTCTGCTTTCCCTCACCTTGAGATTCAGTTTGTGGGATCTTGGTGAAAAAACAAAAATACAGGTGAGGACTTTAGTAAGTTGTTGTTGTTAGCGTATCATTTATATTTTTGCTACTTAGAGTGAGGCTTTTTGATTTACCTTCTGTGTGACAAAAAGTTCTAGGGGTCAATGTTGTATGTATCTTGATAGTTTTGTTTTTTATCAGATTGGGTCAGGAGTCATTTTTGTTGCTTTGAATTTTGAAATTCTGTTAGCGTAGAGATTTTGTTAAGCCTGAGGATAAATTACATTGCATCTACTTTCCAGTGTGGGATCATTTGATTAATGCCCTAAATTCAGAGGACTGAAATTTGGAAGTAAGTCACCCAGCCTTGCAGTTCAGACAGAGCGAATTCCAGATTTTTGTTTGCACTAGATCAATGCCTGTTTCTCAGGTCCAAGTATTTTTAGATTCACTTTCACTTGGTTAGTTTGTTGTGTGTGTGAAATCTGCTCACCGTATGGTATGCAGCTGGCAGGTACCTTTAACCAGCCGATACATTCCCACATTGTTCTCACTCAGATGGTATTTAAATTCCAAGTCCCACTCAGAAACTCCCCCTAAAGATGGGTAACCTCACCCTGGAAAGTTCTGAAGTGAAGTTGGCCTTTGGCAGGGAACTTAAGTTGATTGGAGAAGCTTTTTATCTGAGAGCGTCCGAAGAGATGTGACTCATCTGAATGTAAGAAATGAGACGTTGTGTGAAAGGGAAATGCAGTCATTTATGCTGGAAACTTCCTCTGCTCCTGTGGTGGAAACCTGCTGGGGATAAAGTCTTCTGCTAGTTTGCCCATAATCACTGTTTATATAAAACCAGTCAAACAAAAGCCATCCCCAAAACCCAGAAGAATACTACTTTTTGAGACATGAAAAGGCAGTGGTAGCAAGTCTCACCAGACTTGGAAGCAGGGTGTGTGTGTGTGTGTGTGTTTGTTAGTTCACTTTTGAGTGTAATACCACTACCTGTGTTTTAAATAAATCAAGTTTTCTCTGTCTGTTTTGCTGTCCAGAGTATCCAAATATCCTTGATACCAGTATCTGAAGAAAGTAATGTTGACTTGCACTGAAAAATGTCAAGTTTGTATGTCTGTGTTAAGTATTTAAATGTAAACATAGTAAAATGAAACTTTTGAGACTACAGAAAGTGGGTTGGGGGTGTTTTGAAGCCTTTTTTCCTCATAGAATTCAGAATGGACTTGAAATTTGTAACAACAGGTAGTCAGGATATCGTTCCCTATCTACTTTGAAATTTTATGAGCTTAAAAGCATTTTGATTTCGGGGCTATGGAAAGCACAAGCTTGGTCAGTTTACTGTGCAATGCAGAGAGAGGCTTTCTAGACAGCTTGACTTAGTGGTTACAAATGTAATACCTGCACATGAGCTGGAAGTGATGCTTAATTTATATATAGGTAGTATTGAAAATTGTTAAAATATTAATAACTCATTCATTAACACTGCAGTTTCACAGGCTCCTACTTCATACCACAGTAGTGTTTTTCAGCATGGTGCAGTTCTTCCAGTTGAACTCTGCTAATTGTAGAAGAATAATCCGAGATGTGCACAAGCAGGCTATTTTTGCATGCCTTACATGCATAGTGAGGCACGAGGCCAGTGATCATCTGTTTTCAGCCAAGATATGCCCTGTTAACATATCAGTTTGATAGTATCAGTCATTAATACCATCTCACATTTTAAAAACAGTATCTTGCTATGAAAATACTAGTCATGTCTCTTTGAACTAGGAATAAAATGATACCTAGCAGAACAGTGCAATTATTGCTCCCCCTCTAAAAAACACTGAAGTTCTGCCCTAGAGAATGTCCAATCTTAGATATATATCTCTTGGAACCATGGGTTGCTTATTGTGACCAAGGCCTCTGTGTGAGTTCTACTTTGGTGTTCATCTTGAGATAACTTTGGAGGTCTGCCTTGGAGAGAACTAGATCATCACCTGGACTCTAATAACCAGTATAAATGTTATATATCCTCTTATTTCATAATAGTGTCTTTTTGGCACCATGTGCTTGGGTTCATACACTAATTTGCACTTTTCCTAAACAGTTTCTAACATAATAAAGTTTCAGTATGGTATCAGAGTGGTTTTGAAATGCCTTCTGGTTTATTTTTGTTTTCCCTGCTACATTTATGTTCCATTTATAACATGCTGTGTAATACAATAATAATAAAAATACTGGGAATGAGGTTTCTGTTTTCTTCTGAGTGGAGGAGGGAGCCTACCTCTCTTCCACAAAGGTATTTTAAAACATTTATATGACATGCTCAATTGTACATGTTAAGAAAGGCAATGCAACTGGAGATAAATTCTTAGCTTCTTAGAGTCAAACTACAGTGTTTTTACAGTCTAGAAGATGTAACGAAGGCAGTGAGATACAGTTTATTGATCTGTTGTTTGTTTGTTTTTTTTTTTTCCCTAGGGGTAGTCATAAAGCCTAAGTGTATGTTTGTCTCAAAGTAAAGGAAATGGAGGGTGCTGAGAAAGCACTCAATGTTACTCTGTTTAGTAACTTGTAGACTTATAAGAAAGCGTAAGAATTTGTTAGTCCCTGATAAAGTGCAATTAGTATTTTAGCCCTTAATCGTAGAAAGTTATTATATCATTGTTTGTATTGCACAGATGACATTGCACACTTTATTCCTTTACACCAAATGCAGCATCTTGCAATGCTGTGAAGGTGTTGTACGTGAATATGGCCTTGGCTGCAACTCAGGTGTGCATTCAAGTGGGTTTTTTTTTTCCAGTCATTCCAACCTCGCTGGTTTTGCATTTTGTTATTTAAAAAAAAAAGTGTGGATGGCTTATTTTTATTGTTTTTCTTGCTACTTGAGAAATATGTTTATATGGAAGAGGAGGAGGTAATGGGCCAACTTGTTCCTTTACCTTTTGACCACATGCTGTGACATTTTATTGTAGGGGGCTTTGAATGACATAGTTGGGAATGGGATCTTTGCTTTTCCAGGGATATAATGGATGGAGAGTAGAATGTTTAAATATTCATGCAGAGCATTTCTTGACAAGTGAAGCTTTTTCCTTGAAAGCTTGTTGCCTGAATTAGAAATGGCAAGCAGTGCAACTGTTCTAATGAGAAGAAAGCAAGCAGATAATGTTTAACTGTATGTATTAACATGATTTTCTTTGTTTATGTTTCTGTTTTTTTTCAGGAGAGAAATAGAAACAAACAATAACTAAATGGAGATGTCCTGCTAGAATTACAACACTAATGATGTAGACTCTGGAAATGCCTAATATGTCTAAGAAGACGTTATTAAAGCTTTTTTCTGCTTAAGGTGACATCTTTGAACACTTTAACACAAAATTGACTCTTCTTGTAATGGTTCTCATCAGTGCATCTGCCCTTATACTCTCTCACCAAACACACTTGAGAACTGTACCTTCGTCAAGCACTTTCTGTCCTGAAGCTTTTACCAGTATCTGCTGTCTTTTGTATTTATGCATCCTAGCTAAGGCACAGGAGACGGAACGAATGCAAGGATTCATTAATTCTTTGAATTTGTTAAATACTAACATTTAACCATTAGAAGTGGTTCAATGATGTGAGATTCACATTGCTTCAACTTAATTTTTTCTTTGTTGTAGTTTTTTTAATTGTCAGTTTTTAGCTATTCAACAGATTAAAAGCAAATCATGCCATATTTAGTCCTGGAGTAAAACTCAAGTCTAAATGTTCATGTGAAAATTATTGTAGTAATCTTTTAATATGGCAAAGCAACTTTAAGCTGCAGTTTAGCCAAATGAAACGTAACATGAAATTATACTAGAATGACATTTCCCTTGTTTCAAACTGTTTGGTGTAAGAGAATATTAATATGCAGCTTGGTGGACACCACCAGTTAATGCACATTTCTTTATTTTTTTTTTTCTGTAACATGTATACTGAAAAAAGTGCATTTGTCTGAGGAACTGTTTGTTTGCTACCACTCAATGAATCTCAGTTTTGAGTAAATGTACCTCAGTCTAAATCAGACTTTTTATGACCTTTATAACTACATTTAAAATAATCTTTAATTCCTATTTCTGGGTGTTTGCAAGCCTTGACAGACTGCTATCATGAAAGTGAAAATTTACTCCTCTAGGTGATTCACTAGCTAAATAAACATAATTCTTGTTTAGCAAGCATATACTGTTTCTCAAATTTTTTTTCTTTCATTGTCCCAATATCCAGGTGTTTTTTTTCCCTATTAAAAAATATTTTGAGAAAAATACTTTAATCCCTGGAGATGACATATTCATAGCCATGTTAACATGATTTTTTTGTTAGAGCCATTCATCAAGAATTTTAGAATGCGTAATTCTATATAAGTTTCTAACTTCTAAAAACGCTATCTTTTCTTTCAGCTTGTGTAGCAACACATTCTGTCTGCTGGAAGAGAATATTAAAAAAATGTTAAGCGGGTGTATTGACTGTACAAAATACTGAACAGCCTGTACTAAACTCCAGGGATAGCTTTCTCTTTTTAGAATGGCAGTGTAGAAGTCAGATATGTTATAGCTTAAAATAGCAATACCACATATTATTTGAACATGTTTCACATCTTACTGCCCAACACAGATGTTTATATTGTGTTTCAAGTCCTTCAGTTACAGATTCTGGCAAACAAAGTTCTGGAGTTTAAGTGGGAAAGGTTCACTTTGAATACAGACTATTTTGCTGTATTTTATTTCCTCTCTTCCAAAGCCCCTTGCACTCTTCTAACTTTGCAAATACAAAGTTCAATACACACTTATTTCTTGCTCATTGTTTAAAATGTTGTTTGAGACTGTGGAGTAGCAAATGGGAATCTTAATTCTTAGTGCCAGTTTTCTGGAAGCTCGAAAGAGAAGTCAGTCCTGTATTTTGGAGAAAAGAAGCAACCTCACTTAAATGCGTATGTGTAACAAATAGCAAGTGGGTAAGGGAGTGATAAGCAAAGTGTGTATTGTAAGAGGAGACTAGGAGATAAAGGTTTCAAGCCCAAACCATATGAAATTTGGCTTAAGCCCCAAAATTGCCACTTCCATGTGTATCTGTTTCTTGCTAACAAGTTTTAAAGCTATTTGTTTCCCTCTGTTGGCTGATTTATGGATTACTGCCTATTATTGCAACTGTCATTGATCAGTTGAAGTGGCAAAGGTCAGTGTTGTGAGTCCAAAGAATGTAGTCCTGATGATCCCTCAGAGGATCAGCATGCTTCAGTTTCTTTGTTACAAAAATATCTAATGAAAATGCACAGAAGTTTCCAGTTAAAAGAAAGCTACTGTTAGAGTCAGGCATTCAGGAATTGATTGCATGTGCAACCTTAATTTGCTTCCACTGCAGTATACATATTTTTGCCGGCTTTGTTAGTATTCCCTGCTTTATCCCTTGCCTCTTCTATTCTAATAGCATGAGCATTGCTCTTGGGTTGAATCAGGTTTAGTATAAAATGGGTTCATCATGCCATTGCAGCCTTTGAAAGCTTGGAAAATGAGACAGGATTGTGAGAGAAGGAGGTGATCACATTTAGAGAGCTGTGACAGTTCTTACACTCTTCCAGGATTGCTAGCAAATCCACAAATAGAAGAGTTTTATTGCTGATGGTGTTAGTCATGTTGCGACCGATTTGCTGACTGCTGAGGGTTTAGTATGTGCAGCTGAAATTAAAAGGAATTTTATGTGCATATAAAGTACTGTAAAAATAGTATATAACATTGTAAAATCAGCTATAGAGTGCTGTACTAATTAATGGACATGTCAAACTTCTAGCCTTCAGCTTCCTTATGCACAAGTTCTTTTCCTCCAGAAAGAAAAGGAATGGTGCTTAATATCTCAAATAAATGTAGAAATACCTTTTTTTTTTATTTTTGGTCTGATTTTTCAATACAGTGAAATTGTTGTAATGGCTGCTTGCTAATGGAGGAGTCAGTGGAACCCCTTTTCTGTTCCTGATGGATGTCTCCTCCTTTCTGTCAGAATTTGTTTTCCTGCGGTCCATACTGAGCCAGTTGAAGATGTTTTCTGCTGATTGAATGGTCTGGGCAGTCCTCTGTGAGGTTGTATGTTTGGAAGGGAGATGGCGGGAGGGGAAGGATGTGTCCTCTCAGAAGCAGGTACCCACTGTTGAATAGGCTTAGCTGCACTATAGCTACACACCTGTGGGTTGGTCAGCCAGAAGTGCAACAGGATGTTTAAAACTGGGAAAGGCTCCCCAAGAAAAACAAAGAAGATCAATTCTGGTTTCAGTGTAAGATTTCAGTAGTTATACAGTGAAACATGGTAGCATGCACATTTAGCGATACCAGGAGGAGGGGAGTAATGCAGGGTATTTTCCATTTTGACCACTTTTTTCACTTTGGAAGAGACTTGTGAATTCATTACAGAAAAGTTAAAGCTGGATGGCTTGTCCTAAAAATGCAAGTGGGACACATTAAAGTTGTATGAGTTTTGCTGACCTTTGAGTCTCTTGACTTTGTAACATCAGCATCTTCAACATACTTTTTTGGTATTTGACTTTGACAAGAAATAATTCCTGTCAGTTGAATGCTGAAGTTGCAGCCTTAAGAAGGATGTGGACACTAACCTGAGGGACTTGGATTGGGAAAAACTTGATATTTACAAGCAGACAAATTTAACTACTTCATATATTTTGTACTTCCAGGTTTAATTTATGAAATACTTGCTTCTCTGCATCCTCTTGCTCTGTTTTCTTTTTTGGAGACTGGCAGTTTCATGATGCACGGTCTACAAAATTTAGATACAAAAAACCCCCAAACCCTGCCAAAATTATTCTTGTTCCAGACAAATCTGTGGCACCAAAAAAAAAAGATAACATTGAACTCTTGGTCAAGTGTAAATATTCTAATATGTAGGAAGAAGCATCTTATAACTTGTCACTGTTCACTCAAAGTTGTATTTTGAAGGTGCTTTCTATTTCATAGGAGAATGTACATACTTACAACAATATTCCTTGCACAAAGGAAGCTTCAAATAAACTACAAAAGTTTAAAATAAACTGGTTTGATATATAAGCATCAGTGCATTTTTCCTAGCTGAAATTGAGTTGAAGCAACAGTAACAGTGTTTTTAATTCTGTGCATAGCAGTTACCTTAATTTTTCAAAATGGTTGGTGACTCTTTCAGCAGAAGGATATTTACATACTTCAGCTGATTCTAGTGCAGTGAAAATCCAGCGTGGACAGTATTTGAATTTTCTGCAGCACTGATTTTTAAATGAATAATTCTAGGCATTCAGAACCAAATCACCCTTTAGGAATGGATTTTATGTGCTTTTCAAAACTATTTGAACTCATCTTCCCCTACCATTTTGCTAACGAAATACACACAGATTTTTCAGTGTCATGTTTATTCTTTTACCAGGTGAAGATCTGTGTAATTTATTGACAAGCTAAGAGAGATTGAGAGCAGTTCATTCTCTATCCAGTTGCAGCAAACCCTTGGTTTAAATTTCATGGTTTTTTTTTTGCGTGTCTGTGTTTGAGTATGGTAACTTCGATTAGACATCATTGGCATGAGAACTGACCGTTTGATCTTATTTAATTAGCTTGAAAGTTTCCCCAAAACTGACCTTCTTTTTACATCCTTGTTTATTTTATTTTTCAGCCTGACCCATCCACTATAGTTTAGCATGGGAGAGGAAAGAATTTCCCTATGTATTATAGGAATTTTAAGTAAATAAGTTTGGCCTCATATAAAATAAAAATATTAGTGTACAGCTGGCATGTTTTCCTCAAAAAATCTGCTCTGTAATGTTCTACTTAATACAGTGCATTTTAATATAAATACGGACCTTTCCATTCACAAAGTTGAAAGCCTGGCCTGGATACAAGCTTGACAGCATTTCTCTTCCAGTAATAATCTTGATGCATTCTTGGTGATGATACTTTCAGTATCCAAGGATCTCTAAGCCAAATGTCAATAAAAAACTTGCCATTTGTTAATATAAAGGGGTGCATAATGTTTGTGTTATCTCTTCTTTTCTGACACTGTCCTTTCTCCACAAGTGGAAGTCTGGCAAACAGAAGTCAGTGATCAGTTGGACCTCCCCTTCAACTTCCTTACATGTTTTGCAAGAAACTGTCTTGTCACACTGCAAGCAGAGCGCAAATGAGCGGGTCTTCAGCTCTTCCTCTAGAAGTCTTTTCTTAGTCAGACATTGAAGAGGCAGTGAATTTCTTACTCCCATCTGAGTAAGAATTCCTTCCCCCTTCCTTATCCTTTCTGGGAAGACTCTGTTGTGTTTTTTTGTCTTCTGCTTCATTTGGGTGCCCATGAGGGAAGCCTGGCATTGGATGCTGTTTGCACAATCTACAAAAACACTTCTGACTTTACTTATTTTCCTCTCTCGAAAGAGGAAATCTCCTGACTGAGTTTGATTTGACTCAGTCTGTTTGGCACAATGTAAATAGAGAAATATTGCTTTAATAACTGAGTGAATTCAGTCTCCCATGTGGATTATGGCTTTTTTTTTTTTAAACTTAACTGCAGCATTTTCATTCAGAAAGTGGAAAGAAACATTATTTCATTGGGATTTTAAAGGGCATACAGTTATTCAAATACAAGGCTCCACTTTAAGCGTGCTTCTAAATTTTAGTGGTGGTAATAACCTATGTGTTAACAGTGAGAGTTTATAAGCTGTTTGCATACCCTGTGTGCATTTGCACTTGCCATCTTAATACTGAATTAACTTCCTTTGCTTGTAAAATCAGTTTGTAACACTTGAGAAACTTCATTGTTTTTTTTCTTGCTTTGAATTTCTCATGTGCTCATAGGTACTACAACATTTCATCTGCCTGCACAAGTTTACGTGCATCTTGAGAATGAAGTGGATGTTTGTGTAAAATGAAACAAGGTACTCCAGATTGATGACTGTATTTTAAGTTGAGTTCGTGGGCTTTCAGATGAACAAGCTGTCTTGATTTGTGCCCTCATGTGTAAAGCATTACACTTTAATCTTGAACTCTGAATTTATGCATCCTTTATTTCCTGTTCTGTAAACATCTGAAAGAACCTCAGATGTTAAAAAGTCCTTGCTTTATGCTTAGTCCAGGAATAAAAATTTCCAAACTAAGCATTTGAGCAAGCTAGATGGAGGTTTAGCTTTAATTTGAGCTAAGCTATTACATTTCAGCAAAAGGATGATATAAAAGGTTGCGGGTCTTTCATTATGTACTGTAATTGTATATCTACTAAAAAAAAAGCTGAAATTTTATTTTGCAAGCATTAATATATGCAGCTGGTGTTCAGTATTACCCAAGAATCTTACAAGTGTTTGCATCAGTTCAGATTAGCAGCTATGTAAAACAAAGGATGAAAGGATTGAGAGCTCTCTTTTTCAGGAATACAGAACTGTTAAACTGGTTGAAATTCAGGTGTTTGTGCTATGTGACCACAATACATTGGATGATAAATCTGTCCGTCTTCTGCTGTTTCTCTGGAAAACATTGCTACTAAATTCTTATCGTAATTTTTTATTTATTTTTTTACCTAAATTGGCTGCCAGTTTGTTTTCAAATGCTTAACTCATTTGCAGCTTAGTTCTCATGAGATGCTTCACTGGGTCTGTGAGTGTGGTGCTTCATCAAAAAATGCATGAAACTTTATTTTTTCTTTAGGTTAATATAACTTAATTGCTATTGATCTGTATTTCATTCAGCTTCATATTTCATGATAATGCGTGGTCTTTCAGTTGTATTGATCTTCTTTAATTTCAAGAATACCAGAAATATGCAGAATAATTCAGAGGAGTTTTTAGTTCCTGAAATTTATGCTTATTTTGTTTTAAATGTTAATAAATAGGTATTGTATCTGCTTTTTGGGTTGCTAGTGAGTATTGACGATTTTTTGGAAAGCTGAAAGTAAAAGGTGGAAACAGGAATACTTGTCCTGGGAAGTAGATGAAAATGCTGGAACACCAAACAGCACTAACGGGTGCATGAGACAACGGATGTTAAACAGCAAAGAAGGGTTGATTCTTCCCCTTGCACTTCAGTGTAGCTTTTCAGATGCCGGAAGAATCTTTTGAGCAAAGAATTAAAATTAAGTATATTTACATAGTCCAGTTGAATTCCTAATTGGTGTGCTTGTTTTGTGTTTTTTTGTTTTGTTTTGTTTTGGGGTCATTTCTTTCTTCTTTCCCCCATTTATCTCTTATATATTTCTTCCTCTTTTAACGTGATTCTGCTTTTGGCCTTACATCAGTTTACAGTCTTAAGAGTTAACTTGCGCTCCAGTATAAAGTTCCCTATTTCACATTTTCTTTAAATAAGCCTTATATTTTCCAAGGCTCTGAAGGTTAGTTGTGTTCGGTGTATAGGCCATTCCCCTGCCACGGGTCCTCCTTGCTCTTTACTAGACTTCCCCAGCTGATTTCATGGTTGGTGATTTTTCTAGTCTTGCTTAATTTTAAGTTCCTTATCTGAAGAAGTTACTCAGTTACTAGTTTATTTTTTTGAATAATTGTTAATCTTTGAAGCTGGCTATACTGAAAAGTTGCATCATTTATTTTTTTATCCTCATAATAAGTAAATGACAAGATAATGAAATACGATTAAGTAAGTTCTGTATTCAATTAAAAAAATACGGAAGGTTTCTCACACAAGTTGTGTTCTGAATACTTTCACTGCTTAACTCTCTTACAAGTTCTAGTTAGTTTTCTCTCTGCCAAATGTGTCTTAATGGTGTTAAAGGCTTTTTAGGTAGACTGAAAAAGTCTCTGCTTAAACACAGGTTTTCTGCAGGAGTACACCATGATGGAGTTTCTTGTTTAGTGTCTCTCTTTAGATCTAAGAGTAAGATTGTGACTGTTGAGTAACTGAGCCTACCTGCTTGCTCTGC